ATTGTGTAACAAATTTAGGCCAGCGAACCTTAGCTGTGCTGACGAAGTTGGATTTAATGGATCAGGGGACTGATGCAATGGATGTTTTGATGGGCAAAATTGTTCCCGTTAAGCTTGGCATTATCGGTGTCGTTAATCGCTCGCAGGTTTGTGTTCATCATTTCTGTTTTCTATTAGTAAATGGTTATCTTTCTAAATCATATTTTTTGATTGCTCGTTAATTATTAAAGTTCGCTCTATTTTCCCTCTTCGGAAGACAAGTTAGCGTATCACCATGTACACCTATACCAGCTTCAAATTAACGGTTTCTTTGAAATAAGAAAATGCCAACCCAGTATTGTTTCAGCAAGCCATTATCGACAACAAGCCTATTTCGGACGCTATAAAAGACGAACAGTCTTTTCTTCACCGAAAATATCCTACTCTTGCTAGCAGAAATGGGACTCCGTATCTTGCGAAAAAGTTGAATTTGGTGAGAATTTTCAATCTGTTAACTGGGTAGTGATATATAATTTTTTCAAATGGCTTCTTATGCGCGCATATGTCATGTTTCTAACTAAAAGAAATTGTACTTAGAAAATGCGGTCTCATTTTGCTATAATAAGTTCTTACAAATATCTTGGTTGCGATTATGTTATACACTCAACAATTGAACTATAATATGATGGAAAAAACAAACAACTTTACATTGCTAGTCAGCTTTACAACAAGAAATAAGAGTGTTATACAGAGTAAAGAAGCGTACGCTAATTCTAAAGCCTACCTAGTTTAATGATGTGGTAGGAAAACTGCGGAAATCCATGACTTGAAACATGTTACGGACGCTTAGTCCACTTACAAGGTTAGCCGAGAGGTCTAATGTCGAATTCTGATGCACGTCAAGCACCCATCACTCGAACAAACTTGGAGTACATTGTTGAATTCTTACATGTGTAGAGAACACATTTTCATAGTAAAGGATTCAGACTACCAGTGAGTTAAATGTGATGAGAACTCTTGCACCTTTCAGCTATTTTTGATTTTTATTATAAATAGGCTTTTCTGTTCTACCGTTGGGTCACACTCTTTTTTTTATACGTGAAG